AAGTTAACTTTGACGGAGAATAATTACACTGGTTTACAGCAAAAATGTACTATGAATGACACTATCCAATTCCTATAGAGAATTGCTCGGTGATTCCGAAACATCGACATTCTTTTTTTTTCTATAGATAACTTTTCAAGATATTTGTAATTTACCGTTATTCAGCTTACAGAGTGGTTTCACTTAATAACGTATATCTTACAAAATAATTGAATAATTGTAATACGAGATAAGGGAAATGAAATCTAATATAATTCTCCATAAACGGTATATAAATAGTACATCACTTATCGATAGCCCGATATTTTGTGGGGAATAAATTAATCATTTCTGACACCTCCCAGCATAAAACACGAAGTTAAAATTGGATCAAATTAGGCGATGGGAATCGCTTACCGTTTCGCTTCAAGAAGGCATTATTTTAACATAATCATGTCATTGGCGGTAAGCCCTTACCCGCAGCATTACCTTCGAATGAAGGGAGAACGCATGGATAAACAGACTCCAGAGAAACGAACAAAGAATGCCTTGCGGAGAAACTACGATAGAAAGCCTAGATATATTAAATTTAAAACAGAAAATACAGATTAAAATTTTTATAAAATAATTTTTTTATATACATATTTACATACATATGTATGTGTTCAGGTATTTAGATCTTACTTAAAAATCGGTATGTACATACATGCATATTTAATTAAACTTAAAATTGTACTTCCTCACTCATCTACTTCACTTCATTGACTGACTGACTTCAACTTCGGTGTAAATTAAACAAAGCAAAACGTGATGGAAAGAAGAAAGTACAGAAAGTAACGGTAGAAAAGAATTTCAGCTGACTATGGTGAAGCATTCTACTTACTTAGCATTTTCCGTAATGAATCAAAGCAGCGAAATTAATAAAATATTGTAGAACATTCTGCTATGCATTACCGGCAATGCCTAAAAGAAGCGAAAAAATTAGAAGACATTATAAGGCAATCCGTTGTAGAACCACCACGTTACCACTAAAAGCGATTACCGATTTTTTGCTGGGGCTCTTGCTTTCGATGCAAACACTCTACTAAATCAGGTGCACGTGGCGTATGAGTAACACACTCTTCTGCTCATATTTGATACAAAAAATCCTTGCGCGCATTTTCATTTGACCAGTCGGTTATTTTTCATCAATTGATATTTTTTTCTGCAAGGTATGTACATGTGGGGTATTCCACCGTTACGGGTGGCACATTTGTGCAGTAAAAAATGTTCTTTATTTTTTTAAATTTAAGCATAAAGTACTCAACAATTCTACATTTTGATAAAGCTACACCTGATTCACTTTTATATAGTTATTACCAAAAAATCTGAGTTTTTTCTACAAAAAACTACAACAAAAATTATTGCTTTATTATAAAAAAGAAATCCGAAATTCCTCTGTCACGACTGGGATACGTAGGAATTTTTAGTTGGAAAGGACGTTTTAGTTTGGTCCATCTTAAAGGTTTGTTTATAAAAAATATTTAAGAAGCCAAGACAGGTTCAACTAACGGACTTTTATCTTAGGATAGTCATATTAAGACTCACGATATACTGCAGCACTCAAAATTGGTTTTAGAGGACAATTGTGACACCCATACAAATGTATAAAAAAAATGTGTGAGAGCATGAATTATTAGCAACCGTATGCATTTTTCGCATACACTTCTGCGCGGTGCATCCGATTGCAATGAAATATGGGTTATATGCTCCGAGTATGTCTATAGAGAAAAACTGAATACATGGTAGTTTTTGTTAAATATTTTCTACAGATCATGCTTTAACCAAAACAATATAAATCAAACTTTCAATCTTTATACAGAGCTACGAAAAACTCAACCAATTTTCATGAAAATGTTTAAGTGTTTCCATTGGTTTATTCTCAGATACGATCCCACAGAGCGAGATCGTGCTTTGGAAGAAACATACCGTTACGATTATCCTTGACTACTTGACGGATTTACCAAAATGCCTACGGTTCATATCGCTGGATCGTTAAATAAACGCTCAAGATGACAGTACAAGTAACATTTTAAACTCATAAGAATTAGACAGATAATGATGATTCTACCGCCAACGTGTAGCTTAAAAAAAACTAAATGCGAATTAACATGTAAACATGCATTTTTATATGTAGTTTTTTTTTACGAGGAGGAAGCATGGAAACCCTGTACCCGTCGGTGTTGGACCTTAACCCAAACTAATCTTCCTACTGTCTAAGTAGCGATCCCCCGACACCATCGTCAAGTATTTCGTCGGGAAGCGGTTTAAGCACTACGCTCGCCACGTTCGTTTCAGTGGGCTGTACTCATGCCTGGGCTAAACCTAGTACGTTTTGCCACGTCTTCTTTTAAGAGAAAGGCCTTTTCAGACTATTTATTTATCTCTTAGATACAAATACAACTTATAGTTTCGCACTTATAAACAGTAAGAACAAAGAATTTAAAATTATGGCGTGCCTTATAGCTACGGTTACCATATTGCTGTGAACAAAAATCGGGACACTTCTGAAGCATCATAACATTTTATAATAAAGTTTTATTTAAAACAAAAAAAGGGAGAAAAAACTTTAAAAATTATCGCAAGAATGTATACATACAATATATACATCTCATGTTTTCCATATCCATGGATTTTTGAGGAAATTAGTATAATTTTTTATAAAACCAAATACAGGTTAGTATCGTTTGATCTAAGAAAATAACAAACTTAAAAAATAATTATAAAAACCCTAAAAAAAAGAAGACTGATTGACTGAAATATAGCGGGAGATCATGGAAAATAAGAATGCTGGGTATATTTAAGGCTCCCTTATACTCTATGTTTTTTGTGATAACGAAAGTGCTGCCACCAGTGTTGCCTGCCGTTGTGCGATTAAAGGGGCACTTTGACCCTTTTTAAGCGCCAATACCCTTTGACCCAATTTTTTGAAAGTTGCGATGTTTTGACCCTTTTCCAAAATTATGTGCGACGCTTGTCCCTTCTCAGTGATTTTTTTAAATAAATGTTAACAGAACCATGCTAATAAAAAATATTTCCTACTGTAAGTACGAAAAAGTGATTTAAAACTTTTAAAGGAAATGCAAATCGAATTCTGTGTATGTTTGCAAATCTGTTGTTTGTAAAGCTAGTCCCGTTATTCTACTTTATAATAAAGTAAATTTGATTTTGACTTTCGTTTTCAGATTTATTCTTTTACTAGTAAAGAAAAGCAAAAATAATATGGTGCCCTTTTTCGTCATTTACCCCTTTTTGCGACTTTGTGAAAATTCTCGACGGCAACACTGGCTGCCACGTTTGTCAGAAAAATGGTTTTAAGGCCAGAGTACAGGGAGACTCCTATACAATTAATAAAAAACCCTGATTAATCTTTACTTCCTATTTAATTTTTTAATTTATTAAAATATTGATGTTACTTACTTTTATTTCGTCCAATTTATTTTGTTATGATTTTATGATAGGAAATGAGTTCCGGATTTTATCTATACAAGTCGTAAAAATTGGTATTCCCACTTTTATTTGAAAATTTTCAAGCTCATTCCGCAGACTGGAAATATTGTCGCAGAGAACCAGGATTTTTTCAAAGAATAAGGGATTAAAATAGCACCTGGTAAGACCTATACAATTTTCGTGTCAAACATTTTGTGTACGTACATATATACATACATAGATGTAGATACATATGTATGCATGCATGCCCTGCAGGGAGTGACGTTAACTTATACCTAACTTTAGTCTGTTTACGCGAACACTAGTGCTAACTATTAACTGTGTATTTTGTTCGAAAAAAGCTAACTACTTTTGTGGGGCGATGGCCGCAAAAAAGTCAGACCTGGATACCTCTGCATTACATGTCAACTAACTTGTAACTAACTACTTTTGGACATAAAATATCAATAAGAAAAACAAAATATTTTTTTGTTTTTTTACTTTTTTATTTACTTATTTATTTACTTTATTTTATTACATTTCATATTTGTTTACATATTCTGCTCTGGGTGGCCCCATATTCGAACACCGTCAGACATAACTTCAAAATGATAGTATAAAATTTCGATCTTCCTTTTATTTGTCCTGAATATGAAAAAGAATCTGCGAAGTTCAGAAAAAAAGTGTATTGAAAGTAATTTTTGTATGAGGATATTTAATAGAAACTTGTAAAGAAAACCAACTCCCGGTTGCGTCTGCATGACTCCTGCACGACTTTACAATTCACTTTAAGTTGGTTTTGTCATAGCTAATTAAAAGTGAGGTATTAATCGAAATATCGCCAAAAAGCTAACTATAAGTTGGTTAGTTTTAACAATTGATAATTTTTCACTGCAGGGTGTGTATGAATGTGTATATGTATGTAGGTGCAGAAGTAGCTACCGGATGCATTTTACAGATGTTTTCATAAAATTTATTAATGGTTATATACTACATACATGCACCAATGTTTTGTTTATTACTGTTTATTACATATGTACATACATATGTTTGTAAACACATACATGCATATAACGGGTGATTTTTTAAGAGCTTGATACCTTTTTTTTTAAAAAAAACGCATAAAATTTGCAAAATCTCATCGGTTCTTTATTTGAAACGTTAGATTGGTCCATGACATTTACTTTTTGAAGATAATTTCATTTAAATGTTGACCGCGGCTGCGTCTTAGGTGGTCCATTCGGAAAGTCCAATTTTGGGCAACTTTTTCGAGCATTTCGGCCGGAATAGCCCGAATTTCTTCGGAAATGTTGTCTTCCAAAGCTGGAATAGTTGCTGGCTTATTTCTGTAGACTTTAGACTTGACGTAGCCCCACAAAAAATAGTCTAAAGGCGTCAAATCGCATGATCTTGGTGGCCAACTTACCGGTCCATTTCTTGAGATGAATTGTTCTCCGAAGTTTTCCCTCAAAATGGCCATAGAATCGCGAGCTGTGTGGCATGTAGCGCCATCTTGTTGAAACCACANGATAAACTTTTTCCTCATTTTTCATTATAGTGATACTGGCTTCAGCATAATACATATGTAGCTGTTACTTGGCAACGTGTTCAAGACGGTGGATCGCCTTGGAATGCTAAACGTTAATCAAAATTACTGATAAGCGCCCGTCCAATCCAGAAATACTACGAGTACAACGCACAAGCATGCATAAGTACGTACCAGTGATCGGACTACTACCACTTTTTTGAGCATCTACCACATCTACCACTCAGGGTCTGAAATCTACCACATATTCGCGTTTTTGAGTAGTTTTATTTTTGCTTCACATAATTTTCTTAATTCTACACGATATGGCAACAAGAATGATAAAATAAAAGATTCCGCATTCCCGGCGACGATGAAATTTCTCAAGTAAAAGTAAACAAAGCCTCCCATAAAACAAACTGTAAAATAGTAAATTTTCTCAATAATCAATTTTTCGACAGGAAACGCGGTTTTATTGTGTTAAGTTGCAAAATATAGGATTTGTAAAAGGAATTAATAGCGAAAATGTTGATTTTGGTAAAAGTATTAGCAAATTTAAGTGCGTCTAAAGTTTCTGAGGCGTTGTTTACTTTTAGTTGAGAATTGTCAAAATCGGCAAATCCCAATTAGCTTTTTCTGGAACGTGCCAGATTTGTTCACTACATCGAGATGTGATAAAAAGAAAAGCTGGCAGCACTCCGCAAGGTTGCAGAAAATCTTTCAAAATATGTTCGAAAAATATCTTGATATGGAAGAAACTGCTTTACACTGTGAAGGAGAAAAATTGCCAAAACTCAACGCAATTTTTAGCAACTTCAATTTTGCATTTTATTATACTAAAATTAAATTTTTTTAGAGTCTAATCAAAAAGTTTGCCATTTAGGTGAAACCTTGCAGAATTTTTTTTAATTTTTGTACAAAGTTTGATCCAAACCCAGAGATCTAGTACCACATTTTTTCCCAGGTTCTACCACACAGAATTTTTTTGAATTCCCATCACTGGTATGTACACACATAAATACATAGTACGTACTTATGTACATACATACATATATGAATTTCACAGAGCTTTACGTTATCACTTAGAAATGTAGAAATGAAAAATAATTGCGCGAAACGCGATAAAAACACCTAAACAAAACAAATAAGTAAAAATTGTATAAGTAACGAATGAGGAAAAATAAATAGAATGAAATTATAAGTATACATAAATATATTCGCACGTCGTTGAATTCGTGTACATACCCTGTGGGTAAAATCTCCAATTCTGAACTTGTGCGCTTCTAGTACATTTAGACCCACTACTTGTTCGCGATAAATCTCATTTGCATGCAAACAGCTGGGGAATTTAACACGGCGATGCCCTAGGAAGTGAAAATTGGCCCGTATAGTTCCGAACCAGTTGTAAATTCGTCAACTAAGATGTCAAAGTAATTTTTTTTTTTTTTTTAAGTGGACTTCTAGCTAGCGAAATGTACAGTTGTTCACAAAATAATAGAAGTGCGATATTTTGACCAGTTTTGGCTATTTTTCTTTTGTTTTTTTTTTTAATGTTTATTTATTTATTTATTTATTTATTTATTTATTTATTTATTTATTTATTTTACAGAAAAATGTTTTCTTACAGACAGTTGAGATAAAAAGATTTAGAATATTTAAGTATGTGTGATACATTACAGAGTGAAATAATTATAAATATTAACTTGTAAAGATAACAATGATATTCAATAGCAATTTGGGTAGCTGGCGAGGCCTTGTCTCCAGTCTACTTTTGTGTGCGGCGGGCGGAAAGACCTAGTTTCCGCTCCGCCCTGTTTACAGGCCGTTGATCATGGTCGGAAAGGCCGAGCTTCCGATCCATGTTCCCGTAGTCGTTACTTTGTAAGTGAGGCAGGCGGAAAGTCCTAGTTTCCGCTCCACGCTATAGACGAACTGTTGGGCGAGGTCGGAAAGGCCGAGTTTCCGATCCCTGCTCCTATTGTCCTACGCGGTCGCGGAAATATACGAAGCCGTTACAATTGTACTAAGCAGTCATAGATATTGTGTAATTTTTTCGTTCACGGTTGCAGATATTAGTTTATTTAGTTAACTTGTTGAGCAATGTTTTCTTTATTACAAAAAGCGATTCAGATATGTCGATGCAATCATAATGCTTGTTAAAATCTTGGCATAAACACCGAAAAGCATCATGCATTTCAAAGTTTGATTTACAAATACTCAACACAATAGGTTTAAAATGTCTCGTGGGTCTTGTAGGAATACAAAAATTTATCTCACTCAGTAAAAAGGGACTACTGACCATCCCGTTCATTAATTTAATTAAAAAAAGAACACCAAGCATCTCTCTACGACTCTGAAGCGTCGGCAAATCTATAAGCTTCAGGCGATCCTTGTAGGGTGGGAGATTTTTAGACGAGTCCCAACATAAATTTTTGAGGGCAAATAACAGGAACTGTTTCTGCACTGATTCGAGCCTGTCACTATGAATTTGATAGCTAGGATTCCATACTATAGATGCATACTCCAAAATCGGTCTAACTAGAGAGGTAAAGAGAACTTTAGTGACATAAGGATCGTTGAACTCCTTGGCCCAGCGCTTAAGAAAAGCCAACAATCCTCTAGCCCTAATCACGCAGGAGTTTATGTGAGACTTGAATTCTAGTTTCGGATCCATAGTTACACCTAGGTCAATGAAATTGGTCACTTGCTCAACATTGTGGTCAGATATCATATACGAATTTGGATAGAACGATTTTCTAGAGAAGGTCATGAATTTACACTTTTTCAAATTTAGTGACATGGAATTTGCTTCACACCATTCGAAAATGCAGGTTAGGTCAGCTTGCAAATGCTCCCTATCTTCTGCAGTACTAATGTACTTAAAGAGCTTAACATCATCAGCGTACATTAAGCATTTCGAGTAATTCAACACCTTAGGAAGGTCATTTATAAATAAAATAAACAAGACGGGACCAATATGGCTGCCCTGAGGTACGCCGGATGTGACATGTATTGGCCGGGAGGTACAATTTTTAAAAATTACTCTTTGTTTCCTATCCACTAAGTAAGAAGAAAGCCAGCTGAGAAGAATAGGAGGGAAGCCAATTCGATCAAGTTTATATATAAGGGTTGAATGAGATACCTTGTCAAATGCCTTGCTGAAATCAGTGTAAATCACGTCCGTTCGAAGATTGTTTTTAAACCCATTAGACACATAAGTAGTGAATTCAAGAAGATTGGATACAGTTGATTTACCTTTGCAAAAACCGTGTTGCGATAGATCAATAGCAGAAGTAATAGAGTGAGATAGTTCTTCCGTAACGATTGCCTCAAAAACTTTCTATAAAATTTTTACCCAAATTTCAAATTTTTTAATCAGAATCTTTTGGTAGCAGTTTTGTAGTCCATTTAATTCTAGTGCAATGAAGTGTAAGTTTCATGCTGCTGAAAAATTCCGTTGATTTTTGGCACTTTTTTTCTGGCAGTGTCCTCCATATAAAAGAAAATTGTCGAATGTACTTTGTTTGAAAAAAACGTGAAACGACTTCAACCAAAAAATATCTAAAAAATCAATGGGATTTTTTAAAAACTTAAAGCTTCACTTTATATATGGGCTACAAAATTGCATACCACAGTTTTTTCTAAAGTTTGAAATTTGGGTAAAAATTTGCAATTTTTTTTTAATTTTTGTACAAAGTTTGACTTTTATAAAAGAATAATAAACAATAAATAAACAAAAGACAAGTAGTCGAATCTGTTAAAAATATCGCACTCCTATTATTTTGTGGACAACTGTAGTTCTACCAAGTAAAATAAAAAAAGTCTTTTAAAAGTATCACATGTCGCTGCTTTTGAACTGGAGGAGATCTAGTTACTATCGGACTGGTTCGTTTTTGGCGATAAAGATCTAGTACGGAACTAGAAATTGAGTTCCGGGTTTCCCCAGCAGCGAACAGTGTATATATGTATAAATGTATTTGTGAGAATCAGTGTGAGTGTATAAAGTAGGTTTGAAAAGATATTCAATTAAACCGACACACAGTACGAAGAAGAGACAACAACGCGATAAACACAAAGTCACTCCGCCGTCAGTAGCACAAACAAGCCAACACATCGCAACCAATTAGCGGAAGCTTGTAACTTTTCTGTGCCGCGAAGTGAAGTGAAAAAAACTGAAGACATTTATTCAATTTAATATAATTTTTGTAATTTATGAAAGCGAAATGATTTCTAATGCGGGATAATGAAGCGAAAAACAAGTCAAGTTCGGTCGATGCGCCCCGAAAACCCCGCGATAACTTTTTGAACATCAATACAATCATATATATATATGTGTATGTATCTATGCATATACAAGTGTACTAACATAAATGAAATTGGTAACAAGAACGAAAAAATTACCAATAAAATGTCCGCAACAGCGGGATTATTAGTGGCCGCCATCTCCAAAGTCTCTCCAACGCGAGACGCCACTTTGCCGACGTCACAGCCGAAACGTTCCAGCATCATCGCTTCTGATCCTAGCAGAGCACAGGTGAACGGCATCACAGAGCTCAGCTGTCATATCAGTCGCAGCAGCTCTCAACAGAATCTCGAAACAGATAGTGGAAAGAGTTCGTGTAGCCCTGGGTTACTCGACTACAGCTACGAAAACGGTACAGGTGTGGAGGCTAACGGTGCTGCTCATAGCGGCGCTAACACAAGAGGCGGATTAGCTGAAGGCACTTTGAGAGAGAAGCGATTGTGTGCAACAAATTCTAACAGTGAAGCCGCCGCTTCCGACAGCATGAGTACCGTTAGCTCCATTGGTATCGGCACTGGAATTAGTTGCAACGCAGAAGAAGAAATGCGTCAAAAACTGCGATTCGATCGCCTGCACAAATTCCGCCTTATTCTGCTAGCATTAGATCGACAGAGAGATCCACATCGACTGTTGCGAGAGCGCCTGAGGTGAGTAAAATTTTCTCTAAATTGATATTTTCGTATTTTTACATATCGTCACTTGAAATGCAAAAGGCCGGAAGTAACAATAATTTTGTTTGTGCATAAAACTATGCGGAATGCAGATCGATGAAATGCACAACAATCAATCAAGTGAATTTTGGATTTTTTGCTAGCTACGACCTTTTGCATTTCAGGTGACGATATGTACCAATGGATGGATGTACATGTGCACACATGTATGTATATATGTATGCAGGTAGCTTATACCTACGGTGACCATCCGTCCTGTATTATACGGGACAGTCCTCTTTTTTGACCCATTGTTCTGGTAATTTATTTATTTTATACGGGACGCCAAATGTTCTGTATTTCTTTTAATGTCCTGTATTTGCCCCGTATTCGGTGTTCCGACGCCTTAAGAGCTCGTTAAAATTGCATACCTATGAACGAGTTTTAAGTGATGTTGGTATATGATCGTAATTTTCTTTATCGAATCCTCGAATCGAGGAATACATACAGTGGCCAAAATAGAAACTAGGACTCGTCAGTTTAGTAAGTTTTGGCTATTTTTTCTTAGATTATTTAAAGTTTATTATTTTTTTTATGAAAGTAAAGTTGTTTTCCTAAAAAATCATATAATACCAAATTTCTAACTTTATGCAAAAAACTATAAAAATTAATTCTGCAATGTTTCGCCGAAATTTCAAACATTTCAATTAGAATCTCTAGAAAAAAATTTGGTATTGGCAGTTTTGTAACTCATTAAAATTGAGTATAATAAAGGCGAGTGGAAAGTGCCGCGCATTTGCTTCTCTTTCAAAAAAAGGTCGAACATACTTTGTATGAAAAAAATGCGTAACACCGTCAACAAACAAAAATTGCCATAATTGCACTTTATTATACTAAAATTTAACGAACTTTTTTAACAAATTTTACGGGGTAAAAATCTCGAGAAAATTACCCTACAAATTTGTGATGTTACTATTTATAAGGATACTGTTTCAGGGAAAACAGTGTGGAAAAAATTTCAAAAATTATTTTTGGTCCCGTATTCGGCTCCCATAAATATGGTTACCGTACTTATACCACATAAAACACATCTATAGATATTTCGGAGCCGTATTTTTTTAGTCCTAAAAATATTAATAAATATGTGTAAACTAAATGGTACCATTTGAAAAGACAATCTTAACTAATAGCAAATATTAATAATTTTAATTATTGTATTGACTTAATTAACCCTTGGATGTTCTATGTTAAACCCATACCCAGAATACCAGTCGTACACGGAAACCACAAATTTCACAATGTCAATTATATGAATGCAGAGTTAAGTCTCGTAAACGAAAACTTTCAAACTTGATTTCCCAAAATTTGCATCTCTACAAATTCATGATTCTGGAATGCGGGAGACGATATGTACGTGCCGATTTGTTTTACAAAAATTATTTAAAAAACAGAATCCTCGGTCCCTCAGCAAACCGGTTAATCGTTTCGGCAATTATTTCACATTGGGCACGTTCAGAAGGAGCAATAGCTCAGTAACTGTTGCGATTGCACCTTCTGAACTCGCTGTTGTGGACTTCTGATCAACTGAACAGTTGCGTGTTAGATGATCGTAATATTTTTCTGATTATTAGAGACAACATGTTGGTGTGTACCTTTAAGAGTTGAATTTGACAGCTAATGTATCAAGCCGTTCAGAAGACGCCTAACGATCATTGATTTGATAGCAATGGTTGGGCTCAACTGCTGCGCCTTTCGATGTATACTTAAGATGCATAGACCTAATGGTAAATTTTATAAGAAATTAGCTAAACAATTGATTAAAGCTACTGAGAAATAAAGCCATATATACATATATGTATAACATTGTTGCTCTTTTCATTCTTCTTGCTTTTGATGATATATGTACATAAGTACATATTTGAGGTTATATATCTATATATCGTCGTTTAAAGTACAAAACCGCGTATCAACAAAATGCAAAACCACGTATGTGAGGTTGCATAAATTATTTTGTATAGAGTAAAAACATTCATAATATAAAATTGTCCTCCCTTTTATAAAGCAATCGCATATCTGGCTAGTATATTTCAGCACGAATGGATAAGGCTTGGGCTAAGAGCTTCGGTGAGGAAATCAATTTTTTTGCAAAAAATTTCAGTAACGCGGTTTTGTACTTTAAACGACGATATATGTATATGAGGTTGAGTACTTTTCGTTTTTGTCATTAAGGGCCAAATTCACAGTGCGTTGTTAACCACTGACAAAAGTTTAACTATTGATTTAAATATACACAACGCTCAGTTAACAAAAGTTTAAACCAGCATGCCCCATAGTTAAACTCTTGTGAAATTGAAATTTTTTTTGCTCTTAAAATATGTTCGAAAAATATCTTGATAGGGAACGAACTGCTTTACACTGTCAAGGAAAAAAATTGCCAAAATTCAACTCAATTTATTATACTAAAATTAAATTATTTTAGATTCTAATTAAAAAGTTTGCCATTTAGGTGAAACCTTGCAGAATTTTTTTAATTTTTGTACAAAGTTTGATCAAAACCCAGAGTGAAATCTACCACATTTTTGTGAAATCTACCAAAATTTTTCCAGATTCCACCACACAGAATTTTTGTAAAGTCTGATCACTGCATAGAACTTATTCTTCTTAATTTTTTTGTTCAAATATTAAAACATACCCATATGCCCATGTGCCTTTAAGTATTTCATTTTATTTCCTTGAACATATTGATTATTTATTCTCTTTGAACACAAAACGTGCTTTCAGAAGCTATTTTTTCTATTTACCTTAGTTAATCCTCTATGAGTCCGACGAGAGATTTGCAATTTCCATGTTTTGTTTTGAACTGTGGCTTGTTTTCCCGTACAGTGTTGGTCACAATATTTACTACAAATTGTGAGCAAGCGATTAACATTTACAGCAAACAAACTATTGAGACTGTCCACAGCTTTTGGAAAGAATCAATTTTAACGTTCCGCGGAGGTGTCTTCGTGCTTCAAATCAAATTCTGTCCACCTCGATGCCGAACAGCATTTACTAACCTCTTAAATAAAAAAAATACCCGAGTTTAAGAATTATTGTTATATATTCTGTAAAATTATTGTTTCATAGACTAATTGAATACCTAAATAAAGACTTTAAGTTTTAATGTACATACATACATACATACATACTATAGATCATTGCCTATTGTTACTACGAATGATACCCAGTGCCATGAAAACTTGTGAATTTGCAACTTCCCAAAATTTACTCGAACAGTTCAGGTTTGAATTTTTTTCTAAAATAGGGGTCCGAATTTGTTCTTGACTTCTGTTCCCACAACAACAACTTATGGATTTGATTCCCTGGTTCTGTAAATGTAGTTTGCAAAAAAAAACTAGCTAAGCTAAACTAAACTAATGAAAACTTGCATGGGCAAACCACAGTTCAAAAATATGCGCCACCACTGTATTTTGAGCGGTTTGAGCGGCAGGTTCATTGTAATATAATACTTTGAGCTTATTTTTATCATTCATTTTCATGTTCGCTTCCTTCTTTTGCAAACGACAAATCGAAGGGTTACAAGTCATATGTATGTATAATTTGCAGTAGTTCCGTTTATGTAGTTCAACCGAAACGCACACTATTTGTCCCTTTAAAAATACATATTTTTTTGTAATAAATACATATAAAAAATAAAATGCAGAAAACCTGCTTTGAAAAGGCCTTTAAATTAAAAATTGTGTTAAAAACTTAAAGTTTGTTAATTAGAAGCTAAAAAAGTCGAAACCAACAACATTCGAAAGCTGCAACGGGTTAAAGTAAATTAAATAAACTAATATAAGTGGAAGAAAAGCTAATAGAACCGAAAACGCAAAACAAAATAAAAGATAAGAAAATAAAGCAAGAATTTTTCTTCAATTTAATTAAAAAAGTGTAACTAAAAATGGAAATTGTTAAGTAGAAAATAAGTAAACTAACAGAGTTCAATAAACGGCTATTTAAAAAAAAAACGTCAAAAAAGCGCTAAAGTATTTTGTTTGCAGTTTAGTCAGTTCGTGTCGGTACTTTACATAAAGAAGCGAAAGCTCTCAGCAATATCGAAACATCCAAAACCTTCACCTCCCTATCGTACTGAGCTTTTTTAAATCGGCCGATCTTAGCCATATTGAAAGCTAGTATTAGGTTTGTATAGTAACTTCTCCAGTAAAAGATTACAGCGAGAGCGTAAAAGCAAAATGGAGCGTAAAATTGAGAAGAAGAGAAAACTAGCAGAAAAAGTTACTGAACACAAAACTAGTAAAAACTTGCAAGTGAACAGTTGTTGCACTGCTTTGAAATTCTAGTTGCGGTCCCGTACGAGTCCGGACTAGTCAGAAGTAGTCAGAATCAGTCAGATTTTACTGGAAATCGATCCCGTACTCGGTTCCCTGACTATTGAGGGGACAAAAATGAGAGTAAACAAAGGTCCTCTCTCTCTGTTACCAGTTTTAGTTTACAACCAAAATTTGGAGGTTATGTTGAAGTAGACAGAAGTTTCCATTTATTACTAGAAAGCGATCCCATACTTTCCATTTCCATTTTACTTTTGTTTACGCTTAACCTATTCAACAAATGGCAGTTTTGGACATTTATTCTTCTTCTTCTTCTTCTTCTAACTAATTTCTGCTAGTAAAAATTTCACTAGCAAGAATTTGCACCTCTCCCGTGTTATTACGCTCTCGATTCAGGGTTCTCTTGCAATTTTTTTGAGTTATTACACACTTTTCCAATAAAAATTTGCAGGTTCCTGTACAAATTAGTACTGACTATTTGTTACTATACAAATCTATCTATTATTTTACTCAAACAGCTCAGCTTTCCAGTTAACTTTTCACATTTATCTATAGAATAAGTCGAGCGTCTGCCGTAAATAGGAAATTCACCACGTCTTCTTTATCAATCAGCCGCTTATCAGAGATACTTATGTATGTACAACAAATAAATTCGTTCACACATAC